TATATATACACATACACATACGGACACGTAGGGACCAAATCCGGTGGTCTTCTGCGGCACCTACCACCACTCCGGTGATCTTCTCTGGTCATTTTGTCTGACCAAGACGTCGTCTCTGATAAATGATCATTAAACACCTATCTGTGAGTATTCCCGATAGCTAGTCCCATCTTTGTCCCCGTGACCCCATCACTACCTATCTCCCCTTCCCTCATTCCGCTACAATTGGTATCACAGTGGTATCATAATTAGTATCACAGTGATTTCAAAGTTTATTTGGTATGTTTTGGGTATCATATGGTGTTTGTCGGATGCAGAAGGTAGGAGAGAGAAAGAGAGAGAGAGTAGAGATAAAAAATTTAAAATACCTAAAATGTTCTTTAATTATAATTGTAAGTCAAATTATAAAAAATATTAGTTTTCTAATTTATCAATTAATATATGTTTGAGATTGAATCTTACAGTTATCACAAACTAATCAGTTCTCTTTCAAATTTACTTATATATATATATATATATATGTGTGTTAGATAAATATATATATATATATATATGTATATGTGTGTGAGAGAGAGAGAGAGGGAGAGAGAAAGGAAGTAGAGTGGGCTACTTTGTATGATACTTCGTTATCCTACTAGTCTATGCCCTTTAATTCCCCATCCATCTACATTTTCTTTATTAAATACCTCATTAGTCGTTGCAGATTCAAGCGCCCTTACCTACATTTTATTTTCAAATCTTTTAAAAATTATATTCTAATTGCTTTTTTTTTTTAAATATTACAGATGAGATTTTTTTAATAATCTATTTTCTTATAAAATATATTTGGTTTAATTTAAGGAATTAATTAAAATGTATTGAGGTTTAAAACGAAAATTATATAAAAAGAGGGGCTAAAATTAAAATAGTTACTATTCTAATAACATGTCGGTGTGAAATAACCTTTTGCTTAATAACCGTTTACAAAACCTTTGGCTCCAACGCTATTCAATGACTTTTTCAAATAGTAAAAAGCTTTTACAATAAGCTTACATTGAAGATGCTTTAAAGAACATCTACACGACTTCTTTATGATTAAGAAGCTTTTACGACTTCTATATACCTCTACATGACCTGTGGTATATCCTATGAAAGAAAGAAAAAAAGAAGAGAAAGCGGGTGAAAATATTGAACTTTCGAGAAATTTCTAAATCTTGGTATGTGAAAAAAAGAAATAATACTTGGAGGCTGTTTACCAAATTTTTTATTAAGTCATGTATGGATAAATTTGTCTGTCTGGATAAATGAGTGTTGTTGTTTATTTTTTTTATCTGAACCAACATTCTGAAGAACATAAAATGACCGATTTAACCCTTAATATTAATTATTTGAACATCAAAACAAAAAAAAATCATAAAGAGATTGACAATGAGGTGTTTCATTTGTGAAGAAGGTGATGCTTTAAATAAAGGGTATGAGTGTCATTTTTATTTAATAAATATATATAACATGAAATTTGAAGGGAAAAAAACAACCATGATAGTTAACCTGCAAATTGGGGGGGTATTTTGTAGTTTAGTGTATATTATTCATGTGGTCCACGATCACAATTGTAGATGCAACTCTTGTATTTACTACAACCTAAAACATATGTGGTCCTCTCCAAACAATCATTTTTGTTTTCATAAACTGTATTCTATTTTTCATATTTTAAAATCTGATCTATTCAAAAAGAGAAAGATGTTAAAACAAGGAAGTTTCACATCACATAAAAGCCGGTTGAGTGTAGCGTAGTGGAGGGCAACCATAAGAATTTCGCACAACGGGAAAATGTTGTTAAGATAAAGGGAAAATTCTATAGAATGACCATGAGACCAACTATGTTGCATAGGTCGGAGTGTTGAACTATGAAGAACCCGCATGAGAGACGAAAGAAACTCACATAAATAAGGATGCAGATATGGATGAAACGAGGTTTTTCGAGCATAGCAAGGTGTTACGCGTATCTTTAATGGGAAGACTGATGTGGTTTAGGCATGTCCGTGGGAGATGACGTAAACGGGTTACGAGTGGGATAAAATGAGGTTGTTTAGTTTGTGGATTAAAAAAAAAAAAGAGGAAGAAGGGTTTGTAAGAAATTGAAATCCCATATGCATGAAAATGATTGGGGCATGTACTTTTGGGCACATTATGGTTGTTTGTACCATTTGGGTGATTGCAGGGTGTTTTAACTTGTGGTGATATGGTACAAGTGTATAGGTAGATGGTAGATGGTAGATGGTAGAAGCTAGGTATGATGTGTACTACAATTTCGTATGCACAATGGAATCAAACTTTGTCAAGAATAGTAACTAATTGCTAAAAGTGAATGAGCAAAGTGTCATCTACTTCAATCTTCCTCACTGTATATTGAACTACCCCCTTGTACCATACCTATTACTATACTTATGGATTATATATATATATAGTGTCATGTTTAAACGAGAAAACGTTTTATTTATGAGAAGACGAGAAGAAACATGGGTCACACAATCCATTAATTAAAAAATGTCATAAATAAAAATGAGAAATAGTTTTAGAAATTGGGATGCTTTTATCATTTTGAATTTGATAAATTATTAAAAATCTTGTTATATGTTTTATATTTGTTTTTTTTAATTTTAATTAAGTAATAACTTTTTTTTATCAAGTTGTTTTATAAAAAAAATTAGATACATTTTTGATAAAATGATTTCACAATTTTATGAAATGTCACATGTGATATCTACGATTAATTCATATGTGATAATCATACACATTTTTGTTAAACATATGTGATTATTATATTTACATTTATAGATCTTCTTGTGATGTAAATGTTATGACATATGATAATACGTCACTTATATTTAGACGTATAATATCATATGTGATATGTACAAAATTTAGATACTGGATCATCTGTTAAACGAACTTTATCAAATGTGATGTAAGATGTGGATCGAAAAATTAGAGAAAAAATGGTGAAAAAGATTATGAATTAAGTGTAGATATTACATATGATATTTGATGAAAATTTTTGAATTTCTTTATCAAAAGTATATCTAGACAAAAAAATTATATAAAACTTTATATAATAATTATGAATTAATTAAATTAAAAAATAAATAAATCTAAAAGATATAATTAGATTTTCAAATATTTATCCAATTGAAAATGATAATCATCCTATTTCCTATTTTTTATGTTATTTTTTAATTAATGGATTATGTGGTCAATATTTTTTCTCATCTTCTCGCGAATTAGTTAGCTTTTCGTATGATCCCATATACATATAGGGACCTTCTTTTAAGCACTCATGAAATTGTGATAACCTTGAGAATTAATGCATCATGTGTTACTTTGTATAATTTTTTTCCATTAAAGACTATGATTTAAAATATCGATTGACATATATTTATTTTACAATGTGAACATTTTTGACTTATTTGTGAAACAAAAGTTACACATAAAAAGGTTTCAACATTGTGAATCACATACATATAAAACAAAACATTATGAAACAGATATATGTTCATCAATATATTAAATGTTAGCCTTAAATGAGAAAAAATCATGTGAAACAATATACTAAAATAAAAGTATTCACAATTATCACAATATATAAAATTATCAAATAATTAAATCCACACACACATATATATATATATATATGTATATATATATACAGCCCAATTATTCGCATAAAAATGAAGGCTTATGATGGATATACTAATTTACAAATAAAAAAATGATATTTTTATATAAGAAATTTATAAATTATTAATATATATAATTCATAATCATGCTAGATGCGTGTTTAAATTTGTTGTTAGAAGTAAACTAATTGCACTCCTATTTTGTTAAGTTTATTCTTATACAGCATTAAAACTTATTTTTACATTTTCAATACATGATTTACCTAAGTATAAGAAAAAACCTTGTAACTGAAGGGGAATCCCCGAATTTGTTAACCGGGGATGGGGATACCCTCAAACCCGACCTCAAGTTAGTAAGTTCTAATGTATAGTATATAAATATATGTGTGTACATATAATATTATACTAATAATGAACCCAATACGTAATATAACATATAAATATAATCAATCTTGGATGATGAGAAACTTTTCAAAAGATACTATAATATTTGTCTGATTGTTCGGAGAAAGTTTTGGTGATATAACAATGTAGATGTATAAATTTTGAATTATTAAGTATTGTAATTGATACATTTATTTTTGAACTACTCTTATACAAAAGCAACCATTAGCATTTGATTAATTGAAGTTTAAAATTACCATGTCACTTAAACGTGTAATTGACATTTATAAAGATATTATAAAAAAAAAAATTAAATTTTATAAACAGGAAAAAAATCCATATGATTCCCCGATGAGGATGGGGAAGGAAACACGTTCCCCGACGGGAATGGAGATAGGGAGTAGGGAGCAGGGAGCAGGGATAGGGATTGCGATCCCAAATATCCCCAACCCTGTTGCCATCTTTAGATTTGACCTGATTCTAACTTACCCGGTAAACGTTTACCAGTAAAATTCAACAATATTACTTTCTTACTTGGTAAGATTTTAATCCACCAAAACAATATTAGATACAACAATTTACCTGGTAAGTATTTTTATTTTAAAGACTTCAAAGTTTTATTGTGGAAAAGTTTTTAAAGTATCCGATGCTCACAGCGTCGACCCTATTTTCAATATACAATTAGATATTAAAATTAACACTTAATTTTTTTTACATAAAACGTTGTGATTCACCTCTTTTTTTTTTTTGTTATGCATGCATGCACATCCACACATAGCAATCTAACATACATACATATACATGTGGATATAGACATACATACATCGGTCCATATGTTGGTCCCCCACATCCTCTGAATCACCTTCAACAACCTTTAATCCCTTCCAAACACTCACGTTACCATCTTCCCTGTATAAATCAATGAAACACCATTATTACTCTCTTTTTCCCTGGTTAAAATGGAGCTTCTAAAAAGCCTTTCACTCGTCTCTTTAAAGCCAAACACAGCCACCCCCTATACCCTCCTACTCTTCTCTTATATTTATGGATCATCGATAACTGTGCTTTATTAGCTTTTTAGCTGTTTGATTTTGTGTCCAGTTTCTACTGCTGGCTGCTGCCTGCTTCTTCTCTGCAGCCCTACATTTAACCCCTCTTTCTTTCTACCTTAGCTTTGCTATAAAACATCATGGAAATGAGCGCTCGCTGTTTGTGTTCTTCATTTTTTCATGAATAGCAAACACATCAATTCCGTTTTTGGACTTTTCCACGTTCAAATCTAATTGGGTTTCTCAAGATTTATGCAAATTGAAGTGAATCCCATTTGGGTTTTTCTGATTTCCTCCACTTCAATTTCGTTTTCATTATACCATCATCATCACATGTTCTGTGTTGTTTCCGACTTTCAGGTCTTTTGATCCCAAATTGGTGAAAATCTATTAAGATTTCCAAATGAGTTCCTTCGTTTCTCTATTTACGCAATTCAAAACCTGAAACACCCACTAATCTCACACTTGAGAGAGAATTGAGCATCGATTCCTCGATAAAGTTATCAACATCTTTTTGTCTGCGTAAAACAGACAAGTTAAGTGATGGATTCGAATGTTAGAAGTGATGGGTGGTATTTTGTATTTGTGATGTTGATAATGGTTGGTTTGATTGGAAAGAGCATTCATGGACAAATAGATGGAGCTCCAATGTCGAAAACAGAGCAAGAAGGCTTATATTATGCTATTCAGGGGTTTGTGGGAAAATGGTGGAATGGCTCAGATCTCTATCCTGATCCTTGTGGTTGGACTCCCATTCAGGTACCTTTCTTTTCTTCTTTTCATAACACTTCCAAATTGTATGGTAGAAACAAGGGAATCTTGAATATTTCCATCTTATCTCATCTGAATCTTATTATTATAATAAAATAATTATTTTGAAATTTTGTTACTGTTATTAATTAGATTATTAAGGGGCCGTTTACTAAACGTTTACCCGGTAAGTACTTAACGGGTAATTTTTCTCATCTGATGAACATGGCAAGGACCAAGGATCTTACCCGGTAAGAATGATGATAAGAATAGATAGTCTTACCCGGTAAGTGAAGGTAACGATGCTTACCCGGGTAGACGCTTACCAAGTAAATTGTTGTAGATAAGTTTTGATGTACTACAATCTTACCCAATAAAATAAATTATAGTGTTACTCCTAACATTAAACACTTATCAGATAAACATTTAGGTAAACAGCCCCTAAATTATCATGGTTGTATTCATGGCCCCTACCCAAAATAACACCCATTATTATCATTGATGAAGCTTACCACCATCCATGTGACATGATGGAACAATAAATTAATTAAATTAAATTAAATTAAATATACTATTAATTATCATCAAACTTGTTAAATAATCATTATATTATATTTATACTATAATCAATTATTGGAATATTTATTATCCATTCATCTAAAAAAAATATGAAATATCTATTTTTTTAATCAAGAAAAATCATATATTTAAAGTGAAATATCAAAACTTTTTAAATATTTAATTAAATTCCAATATCTTTCTTGCATTCAAAATTGCATGAAATCTTGCAAACATAATCTATCTTGTGGGTCAATATTTTCTTGTTCCTTTTAATAATAGTAACATTATTTTCTTACTTCTACAGGGTGTTACATGTGATGTTTTTGATGGATTCTGGTATGTGACCGACCTTAGGATTGGTCAAATCCATGATAACTCTCTTCCCTGTCATCCAAATCTTGAATTTAGACCCCATTTGTTTCAACTCAAACACCTGAAATCACTCTCATTCTTCAACTGCATCATCTCACCTAGCCATGGTCCGGTTACGATTCAGTCGGCTAACTGGGATGCACTTTCTAGCACCATTGAGTCCGTGGAATTCCGGGCAAATCCAGGGCTGACCGGCCAAATCCCCACCAGCTTCGGTAACCTCAAGAGGCTACAATCGCTTGTATTAATTGAGAACGGATTTTCAGGCGGTTTGCCGGGTAGTATTGGTGATTTGACTCACTTGAAGAGGTTGGTTTTATCTGATAATTTGTTAACAGGAAAAATCCCAGATAGTTATGGCTATTTGAGTGAATTATTGATCATGGATTTGAGTAGAAACTCATTATCTGGGACTTTACCGTTGACTTTTGGAGGGTTGACTTCTCTCTTGAAGTTTGACTTGAGTAGGAACCAATTAGAAGGGGAAATCCCAAGTGAGATTAGTTATATGAAGAATCTTACTCTTTTGGATCTCAGCAACAACAAGATTTCTGGTGAATTGACTTTTCCAATTCAAGAAATGGGTTCTTTAGAAGAGTTGATTTTGTCAAGTAACCCCATAAGTGGTGATCTTATGAACTTGAATTGGGAAAACCTTCATGGGTTAATGGTTTTGGATCTTTCGAACATGCGGTTGACCGGTGGCATCCCGGAGGTGATTTCCAGCCTCGAAAACCTGCGCTTTTTAGGTCTAAATGACAACAATCTCACCGGGAATCTCTCACCGAAACTAGCAGAGTTGGCCGATCTGAATGCACTTTATGTTAACGGAAATAACCTCACCGGAGACCTCAAGTTCCCGAGAGAGTTCTATGGTAAAATGGGCAGGCGATTCGGGGCTTGGAATAACTCAAACTTGTGTTTCTCGGTTGCTACGATGCCGGCCAACATTCGGCCGTTTGGTGTAAAGGTATGTAGTGAGGTACCATCGTGATTAATCCCGTTCCAAGTCGGAAATCAAATCACGTGTTTTGTCTTATGAAACAAATATTCGATCTAACCCTTGTGTAAGCAAAGTTATCCGTCTTTTGACTGGAAACAAATCGACGATTGTTCAAATGCATTTGATTAGTTGCTTTTTAGTTTGTATTGAGATGTTACAAACAAATTCAATATATCTCTAAGAAATGGTGTTGTAAAGTGTGGGTTGGTAATAAATGCAAGGAAAGAAAGGGTGACTGCAAGGTGCATGTGGTTAGGGAATATGGGTGACGGTGGTGTGGGGTGGTGTGGTGTGTTGTGGTCCAGAGTCCAGACCATGGGGGACCATGCGGTTTGGTTTGCAGGCAAGAAGGTATATGTGATGTGGACCTTTTTTTGGGGGATGGGGGCAGCGGGTGCATATGAATGATTCGGAGTTAGGGGTCGATATGGGTCGGGTTCAACAATTTAACACAATTATTTTGGTTTAGAAAAATCTGAAGTTACTCAATTTTTATTAAATTGTGTATCGGTTGAATATATATATATATATATATATATAATATTAAAAATATCAAGAAAAAACCAAAAAGTAAGTTTTAATGGTATAGTAATAACCCAATGCTAAAACACTAAAATAGAGGTCATCAACTCATGATTGCTTCAATGCATCACTATAAATATTGATATTATTTAACCATAAAGATGATATTTGATTGATTTGAGCTTGATTTCAAAGATTAAAAGTAACAAGAGGTTCCAGTTTCAAATCCAAGGAGGAATAAAAATCTTCTTGTGGCCACGGAGGTTTAAATGCGGTGACTCCGAGCTATCTGTAAAGCAAGTGGTCGTCCTGGGATTAGTCGGCTCGCATAGCAGGTTGGATATCTAGGTTAATCAGAAAAAATATTGATATTATTTTTGGTAAATTGAAGGACCTATATTTAGAGGCTTACCATTTGTTGCCTCTAGAAAATGTATCATTTAAAGTTCTGTATTTTACTGTGTAGTTTGGAAGAGTTTTATGTTTTAGTGTTTTTATATGGTGAGTTGGAGATGTTGTTAAAGTAGTGTTTGGTACGTAGACATGACAAGAGGGTAGGACTGGACAGAACAAATGTATGTCTAGTGTTTGGTACAACTAGGACTAGACGGGACAAAACTAGACAAGTTACCTCAAAAACTATTTGATGATTTTAAATATTATATAATAGTTATAACTAACACAAATAAATTAAATAATTAAAGAATCTAATTTATAAATATTTTTACACAATTTTCATATAAATGAATACATACATATATAATGGTGCTGAATTTGAATGAAAAATTTGATATAATTGATGGTGGTAGTAGTAATGGTCGATGGTGGTTGAGGAGGTTGTTGCAGTAGAGGAGGAGATGGAGGTGACCAACGATGGGAGTGGTGGTGGTCGATGGTTGATGGTGATTGTAGAGGTAGCAATGGACAGTTGTGGTTGGTGGTCAACGGTGATTGTGGAGGTCATGGAGGATGTTGTTGCGTATAGGAGGAGTTGGAGGTGGCCAACGGTGGTAGTGTTGGTGGTAATCGGAGGTGGTGATTGGTGGTCGATGGTGGTTGTAAAGGTGGCAATGAACGATGGTAATCGGTGATCGACGGTGGTTGTGGAGGTGTTGAAGGAGGTTGTTGTAGTAGATGAGAAGTTGGAGTTGGCGAACGGCGGTAGTGGTGGTAGCAATGGACGCTGGTAGTCGATGGTCGACTATGCTAAAGGTGGGCCAGATGGCGATGGACGATGGAGGACGGTGGTTGTGGAGGCGATGGAAGATGTTGTTGTAGTGGAAGAGAAGGTGGAGGTGGCCGTCGGTGACAGCCAATTATGGCGGAGCCGAAACTAGCGGTGATGACCATTAAAAAAATATATTAAGGTTATATATCAAACTAAGGTAGATTAATAATATTTTAATTTATGTCTCATTCTTGTCCTATATTGTTCCACCTATTTTCGTGGAAAAAAAACCTCTTTGATCCCATCTTGTTCCAGCTCTTGTCCCTGTCCCATGTCATGTCAAACCTGGGACAATGAGTTCTTATTTTGTCCCATGTTGCGTCAAACATGAGAGAATGAGTTTTGTCATATCTTGTTATGTCTCGTTTTATGTACCAAACGCAACCTAAAGCACGTGAATACCTATCACTAAAACAAAAATAAAATAAAATTGGAGTTCATTGGTTTTCTAACCGACCACTAAAAAAAAGGCTTTATCTTGACCTTTGTATTTGGATGGCGATTTGTTAAAATACATATATATTACATTTCTTTTTTGTGATTACATTAACTAGAAGGGTATTCATGTAACACAACGAAATAAATCTTTATTTTAATGTTTAGTTTTTATCTTTCTTTATCGGTATAATACGATTTTATGTGCTTTTGAGAAAACGATAATGTTTTTATTTTTGAATGAAATATAAATTTAAAGATATCATAAAAATTTGAAAAAAATAAATCTATATTACTATCAAATTAACTATTTAATAATTCTCGTTTTTTGGGTGTAACTTTTTTAATTCAATTTTTTATTATATGTTAATTTAGATTTAATAACAAAGTAATTTATTTTTGGTTTAATAATATAATTTTTTATAAAGATAATAATTGAATATTCTGTTAAAATTCAATAATTATCTTAATTATAATTTATATTTTTTATATTCCAAATGAATGTTTATCATGTATTTCATTATGTTTATCATGTATTTCATTATGTTTATCTGCAGTTAGTTATACGGATTTCAAAATGAAGCTTTAATAAGTTGTACTTATGCAAAATTATTTGTAATCTTCAATTTTAAGTAATATGCATCAATAAACAGTACTTCATGCATAAAAAATGATTTTTAAGAAATTTTATCAAATGTTTTATAGTATAGTATAGATAATATGAATTAATATTAAGTTTAGTAACTTATTTATATACAAACAGCTAATAAAAATGTATAATTAAAAAAAACATTAATTTATTAAAACCTAAGTACAATAACTGACGAAGTAAGTACATGTTACACATTCTTACACAGGTTTCATACACATTAAAACCAAACATTTTTACGTTTTAAATGTTTATAAAATGGTAACACATGAATTAAAAACTCATAATTTGTACCCGCAGGGAAAAAAACAATTTCTATGTAATTATGATATATTGTTTTAGGTCAACCACATTGGGTTGGGTTTGGTGTTTATTTGGGCTCAACCATGTCAATTTGTAAAATTAAAACCTGATTGGGTTTTTCGATTTAGTATGGGTTTGGTTCGGTTCGGTTCATCAACAAATCTTTCGGGTTGGATCGGGTAATTGACCCGTCAGGTTGTTTTTTAGTAAGATGTTGTATTTTAATGTACTTCACCTCTTAATATCTTATTCGAGTTCGGGAAAGGCTTGCGTCTAATAATTCGTTGACGGTCTACGGGCACGTCTTACACCTTGAGCCTTTGTCCAAAAAAGGAAAGATGTGAACAAAAAGCACAACATAATATTTTAACAAATAAATTCCTAGATTTACGGATATGATTTTTATTGTAATAAGTGATTTTTGGTACTTTTTATAGACTACGGATCAAGATCTTCGGTTTTAGTATGTACAAAGATTTCTTTATGATAAAAAAATGTGCATTGAGTATCTATTTAATCGTTCAAAATATGAAAGTTTTTATTAGTTTTTTTTTTATGTTTTTTTCCCTAAAATCAATTAACTATATATAACCTTAATTGAATGATAGAAAATCGATTTTGGACTTGATTTATTCGGGTAAGTATGAAGTTATTTGAAACCTTAACAATATACGAACACGTGACATAAGTTATAGTTAAAGTGACGTACGATTATAGAATTGAAATTGAAAATCAATATTTGGACACCTAAAAAATTCCAATCTAAATATAAATAAATATATATTAATTAAGGGGTAGGTTGATGCTAGATTCTCGATCGGCTGCTTGGTGACCTGATAAGCACCGGCTCATCGGCTGGGGTACGGCCTTACACTTTGAACCAATTCCAGCCATGTTGGAGCCGTGTTGGTAAAAAGCTAAGAAATTTGCTGCATGCCTTGGCTGGCTTACTTTTACACCACCTACCACTTTTACTTTTTCAACCCAAAAATATGTTGAAACTCTTGACTTTTCGTTCATTTTCTTTTTTCAAGCCGTACATACGACTTAATACGGCTTTGCATTTAATTATATTTGATATTTTCTTTTACAAAACACGTTATTTATACAAACCTCATTTAACCATTCATAATTTTTTATTTTATTTATTTTTTTGTAACTATGAGAGGTTGATTAATTATTTTTATTGTGAAGTGTGTTAATCATGAATATTATTATCTTTATTATTTTAATTTTAAAGAAATACATGAAACAGTTTCATTAAAATTTCATAACCATATATGAAACAACTTCATCAAAAAAAATATTATATGAAACAACTTTATCAAAAAAAAAGTATTATATGAAATAATTTTTCAAAATTAAACAATTTCATTAAAAAATTCTTAAGATTAAACAATTAAATCGACGGATGAGTGTGGTTTGCACGATTTGTACAAATGAGGTGATTTGCATTTGATCGCTCCTCTCTATATATGTGTGTGTGTATATATATATAAATATGTGTGTGTGTATATATTATAAATATGTGTGTGTGTGTGAGAGAGAGAGAGATCCGAAATGCAGGGTCATTTCAATCTTTTTGGAGGCCTTGTAGCACTTGTATTAAGACAATATAAAAGTGCACACAAGGACATTCCAATCTTTTGGAGACCCTGTTATACCTAAACGTTTTGATTACACTGTAAAATAAGATAACAAATATACATATATACAAATTACAGAGTCGATGATGAGACGTATGCATCTTGTCTTCTGATAGAAGTTAGAGAAACAATGAGTCATTTTCATTAACGAAAGACTCTCAACAATATAAAATTAGGCCCTAAATTTTTGGGTCCTGTTCAAAATCACACATTTGACATATTATATAACAGCCTTGAGTGCACATCATATATTATATTAAAAGTTCATACAAATTAAAATCGTAAAAATGTCTTAAAATACAAAATTAACTTAAAAATAGAAATATTATTCCAACA